TTATTTTTTATTATTTATAGAGAAAAGTGAGATGATCACAATAATTACAAGCGAGTAGTAAATATTATACGTCGTTAAAGATATCGTCGTTATGACTTACGATAAAAGATAATATAGCGGCGTGTGTCTAATTATATTTTCATATGAGTTACATGTTAAAGGAAATCAATCAAATTAATATCGTGTTCGTTTTAAAAGTATAAAGAGCGTATCAAACAAGTCGATATCAATTAATCTCCTTTTACAATATAAGTTATAACAAAATTTATAAAATCTTATTAATAAAGTTAAGGCCCTTAATGGTAAAAAATATATATATTTTTTATTACATCAAATAACCTCTATAAAAGAACATATAATATAATAAAACACTATCGTTTCTCAGGAAATTTCGTATTCCATGAAAAGGAAGCATGGTCGTAATGGCTAGATGATAATTGAATATGATATAGAGAAAGCTTTTGATCACGCATAATGGAGCTTTTACAAAGCATCCTATAAAATTTGGCATTCAATAATAATATAATTCGACTCCTAACTCAATACTTCTCTACTGTTACTTATTGAGTGTTAATAAATGATACTCGACGTTGACATTTAAATCCTCCGAATATATTAAAGCAAAGAGATCCATTTTCTATGTATTTATTTATACCATGCATCGAGGGTTTATTAATTTTATTATCGAGACTCAAAACTAAAACATAAATGGCCAAAAAAAAAAGTCTCAACTCACTAATTCTCGTCCACTTATTATTTATTGACGATTTAATATTTTATGGAAAAACAAATGAAAATGGCACGTATGCTATTATAAATTGTCTCAGTGATATTGTGTAGAATCTAAATAATCTATAAATATTATAATTATCTATTATCTTTAATAAAAAATACTTCATTATAAGTTAACAAAAAAACGAGAAAAATATCATAGGCTAAGTACTTTAATACTTCGTGCTTGAATCAAATACTTTAAAAAAATCTTATATAAACCATAGACAAAAAATGGAAGCAATAACGTTTGATGGAAATATAATACTATTTCACGTGTAAAAAGAGTTATATTGATCAAATGACTTATAAATAACATGTAAATTTACAATATTACACTATTTTTTCTCCCGAAAGTAATTATTGACGATAATAGAGAAATCAATCAATAGATTATAACGAAAGCTTAAAAAAGATTGATGAAAATTGACCTAGCTTTAGTATGAAAACTAGCATGACGAGTGCAACTGTAGTATAAAAAAATTACGAATCAAATTTGTTAAATCAAAATATATAAAAGACATTAAATTTAATCAAACGACATAAAAGAAGTGATTTTTTTTTTGAGACGTACGCTATAAGTGAAAAAAAAAAATTGTTAATCGAGAAAATATTATAATTTACTAAAGATATAAGCACTACTAGTATCGGGTGCCATATAAGGTTTCGAACCGAATGTCCAGTAACCCTTAAGTACACTAAAGTGAAATATTTCATGAGTAAATAAGAGAATTAACAAGATATTAATATTTTGAATTTGATATTTTTCGATAAAATTATAAACGAAATACATAAAATTAAAATATTACTGGCTCTTCTCTTTCATGATAAATGATAATAGATAATATATATTACGATATAAAGATAAATCATCGACGATAACAAGCAAATAAGGAGAACGGGCTCAACATGTGAAAAGAATTATAGAAAGAAAATATGCAAGAAAAACGACAAATTTTATGATGGATGAGGATATACAAAAGTTTACTAGGTTTAAATTCGGCTCACTCTCGAGACAACAATATATATTTCACATGTGGAGTTAGAAAATACTCTTATAATCATTTATACATATATTGATACTTAACTACATTTTTATGGCTTGACTCCTCGTAGAGAATCCTAATTGATGAATTTAAGTGGCAATATATCGACATAATAGTTAAAATATACGCTAACTCAACATAAAAATAAGAAACGGGAAAAAAAAAATAATGTAAACACATATTTTATTGTTGCATAATGATTTATTTATTATATTTTTAAAGAAATAAAAGATTTGTAATCCATAATTTATGATTTATTAAATCTATTGTACTGTAATAACGATAAATAGATAGATACAAGTAAGCAGTGAATATTATTTTAAGTTAAAATATACAAACAGTTAAAAGTACAATAGAACCCAATTAGCGTATAAAAATCACTTGTCGTGCAACAACTCGAAATACTAGTTCGTATATAGCAATAATCTTGACAAATAAAGGAAATGTCTCAGTTCATACATGGATTAATTTTGTCGAAGATCAGTCAAAATTCTAAGATTTTTTAAAAAATAAAAATAAAAATAATTTTTTATATATTATTTAATTATTATATAATTAATTAAATATTTTTAAAATTATAATATGTGTAATTATGTGTAAAAATATAGTAATATTTAAAAATAATATCACAGTACTATATATTCTTAGAATAATTAACATTCATATCAAATTAAATCCACTAATTCTCAAAAAAAAAAAAAAAAAAAAAAATCAAACGTCAGCAAGCTGAGAAATCCAAGTGGATGTGTCTCCAGCAAAACGACACGACATTAGCGGGCCCCACATAGCCATATTATACAGGTGGGATTTTCGGATATCCTAGTCACCGCCCGTAACCGAGCTGTAACGGGAAAGATTCCGTCTCGTAACGGTGGGAAAGTTTTGGCGGTAAAAAGGACCGACAATGACGTGTCAAATTTCCATTGGTTCGTCACGCATGTTTATCTTCTTGACATGTCACACGCATTTATCATGTATGTGTTTTTCCCGCGCGAGGCACCAAGCTGCTGATAGGGTTTCGCCAAAAGGAGGCCCAGAGAGAATAAAACGAGAGGGAAAATTTATAGGGTTTATAAAAAGGACGCTTGATTGTTCTTATTATTCTTCTTCGTCTTCTTCACTTGGATTTGCTGATTC